TGTATAGGTAGCTTAGTTTGTAATAGATTTTTTAGTTTGTATGTTTGTATTATATTGTTTTATTATGTAGTTTGAATTATATAATATTATATTTTTAATTTACTAGCTAAAGAAAACTAAACATCTGGATCTGTCTGGTTGTAATATTTGCAGGTTTTAGTTGTAAAATAGAATAAATAAACCCAATTTAAAAAAAACAATAAATTTACGTCGCGTATTGGTATATGCGACGTAAATTTACGTCACGTATACCATATGCGACGTAAATTTTTTATTTTGTTTTTAAATTGAAAAGGTTTTTACGTCTGTTTAGTGTAAATCTACGTCGGATCTGGATAACTGACGTAAATCTACGTCGGGAAAAAGGGTCCGACGTAAATTTACGTCTCTCGCTTTAATGTCGGACTTAAATACGACGTAAAAAACCCTAAATACCTGACGTAAAAACCCCTTTTTGCACTAGTGTAAATACATTGACCAATTTGTTTTGAACGTGGAAGAGGATCGATTCAATTTTAATTTTGAAAAGGAGACCAAGACCAAAAAAATAATGTGAAGTGTGCATGTTACACAATTTCACACTTATGGAAGTCACGTAATGTTTGTTTGTAGCGCAACTTGATTGATTGAAAAATAAGTACCAAACAGCAAGTCTTGCCCCAAAAAAAGGGTTACACATTAATTTCTATTCAATTTATTATGGTGAAGATAAAATGCAATATTTTATATGTTAACCCTCGTTTACTACTCAATCAATCAAGTAACCTAAGCACACCATGCATACTAAAAAGTCTCAAACCCAGAACAGTTTTCAATCAATAATTTAATACATATTAATTTTATTTTATTTTATTGATTAAATGTAGTATAATTTTTCTTTTTCAATATGTAGTTGACTTATATTTGTGTTTCAATCCAATTAGTGTTGTAGAGTCAAACAAAAATTGACTTTTATGTTTTGGAGTTGACTTGTCATATGTTTTTGACAAATGTAGTCAATTAAATGAAAAGGAATAATTTGACAACATATCTCATGATCGACATTTATACAACTTATGTAAGTTTAACTAAACCTTTCAAGAAATCATCAATAAGTAAAAAAAAAAAAATACGATTCGGTCGGTGATAGAGATAAATGTAATGTATTCCATAAATGATGTGTTGAGCATAAAATCAAGGTTCATGTCACACATGTGAACACGTGAATTGCGGGAAGAAGCTACTTAGGACGCAATAAGGTGACATTCATGCTTTATTTTCTTTTTTTCTTGTCGTGTTAGGTTTTAATTTGATTCCTTTTTCTTTGGGACACTTGGGTATTCCATTGAATTAATATTTCTCATTACACAAGTTTCCAAACTTGTTAGGTCGTGTCGTGGTCATGGTCCTTGGGAACATATCTTTACAAGCTATTTCTTCACAAACGAATTCAAAATGATGAAAAAGGGAAACTGAAATTCGTGAGATCGTTTTTTATTGTTATCAATGTTTATTATCTCTTTAGTCATTTATTGCAAATTTCATCTCATTTCACGCTTCTGATCTTGCTTCGTTGGTGGCGCGGTTCTTTACTTTCCCAATTCCAATTTCTCACTTGTGTTCAATTTAAAGACAAATATAAATTAAAAGAATATTTTTCTCAATTAATTTCATTCACCACCTTAAAGTAAATATTAAGAAACTAATTAAATAATTAATAATATTATATATATATATATATATATAGGAAACTAATTATAAATTAAATATATACTTACCTAAAATATAATAACAAAATATATTTACATATATCTTAACACACACTCACACTTAAAACAGAAGAATGATGAACATTGAAACTGTCCCTGAAATCATAAAACGACACACGTAGAAATTTTTTAGTAAAAATGTCTGTGAACTAATATCGTGAAAGATCATGAAAAACTCAAATCTAACCATGTGCAACATTTTTCCGTACACAATATATGTTCATCTAAATATGTTTGGTATGTTGATGTTGTACCGGGTTGTCCGACAAATAGATAACACTAATATTGTTACAATACACCAGAGTAGGTTTGGTAACCAAACAATGTTATTCCAATAACAAATTTTGAAGTCAACACGACTCATAAACCACATTAGCAATATCTCTATACCTGACCTCAGCACTAGATTGAAAAAAGTGTAAATTAACGCTTATACATTATATTTATTCCAAGTCGATGAATGAGATCAATTGAGAAAACTAATTAGGTAACTACTATCACACATATATTTTAAAAACTAATTATAAGTTAAATACATACTTATCTAAAATATAATAACAAAATATATTTATATATATATTTTAACACAAACGTGATAAGTTTATTGCTTTTATAATAATTATTTAAAAAACATTAGTGTAAAATCTGTTTCATATTATTTGAAGTGTACAATGCTTAAAAATGATTATTAAAATTTTATAATGTAGTAATTATCAATTTATTGCATCTTTTATGTAATAGTTTAAATTTAAAGATGAATTTGTGATAGTGGAAAAAGATATATTTGAGTGAAAAAAAAGGTGAAATAGTTATTTGTGGGAAAATATAAGATATGAAAAAAAATGAGAAGAATGTTTGTAACTAATTTGATTGATGTGATTATTATTATTATTATTATTAATTGTTATTATTATTTAGTTTAATATTACTTTTAATTATTACTATTATTATAATTATAAAAAAATAAAAATACACATAATTCATAATAAATAAATTAAATATAAAAAATGTTTAAGTCTCTCGGTCCATGTATTTTATAAACACTTTCGTTATATTTTATCTCATACATGCAGAAATTTTTAACTCGCAAATCAGCATGCATAAATGGACTGATACAAACAAAAACATTTTTCACAATTTCTTTTCTTTCTTCTTAAAGATTTTTCATCTGGTACAAACGTATGCTTAATATTCTTTTTCTTTGAAAATAATTGGTTATGGAAGCCATAAAAACACACACACACACACACACATATATATATATATATATATATATAACATTAAATATAATTGAATAATTAGTATTCAAATAAAAATACAAAATGAAACAATTGTAATATATGTATATTTTTTGGAATATTTTTTATGTAATTATTTAAACATATATGTTTCTGAATTTAATTATGCTCATTTATAGTTTAATTTTGATTAAGTGTATTACTAAAGAAGTAAAAAAACTTGATGTTGTGTTCCTAATCCGTTATTATTAGTATTGAAGTAAAAAAGGTGATGTTGTGCATTAACAAAGCAGCAAATAAGAAATGAAGAAATAGATAACAAATAATTGCACATATAATATAAGTATTTAACAGTTAAATGGTTAATATATATATTGATTAAATAATGAATATCTCTATCATGAACTGGTGTTCAAAATTCAGAAGCGTGTTCAGAGCCCCTGCGTGTTTAGGGTCGCTTTCGTTTTCCACGTTTATGTTCGGTCGGTGGTCTCTCTCTCATACTGATCAATGGAAAATTTATATTTCAAAATCAAATCAAATGCTCAAATGAACGTCGAAAAGTATACAGGTCACACTTTTTTCGACTTTCACTGGTATAATGTGATTCATATGGTCCTCTTTAACATATATATAATAATAATAATAATATAACTCCTCTACGTTAAACAGAAATATCCTTTCATTACAAAATATATATGAATATACAATCCTCTTATGAACAGAATTTTGTAGAATTAAATTATTTATTTGTTTATTTTTAAGAAACTTTAATATTTAAGAGTTATATTTTATGGTTTAAATAATGATAATTGGGAGCCAGTACAGTGCTGATACAGTTAGCACAGGTCAGAATACTAGTACATATATTGGTTTGTCAGAGAATAGTCAAATTGAAACATATATTATAGAAAATAGATGGAAGAAAAAAAAGAGAGGAGTCAACTAAACTGAAGTAGTTTCCGTGAATGAGAGAAGAGAAGTTTGAAGTTAGTAGATAGAAGAGCATGGGAAGCGTGGGATTTGCATGTTGCAAGAATTTCTTGGTGTCAACATCTGCCTATTCAAAACTATTCATGATGATGATAACATCCATCCCGATTGAATGGGAACACGACAAAATAATAGATTTATTGCAAGATATTAGTTATTTGTTAGTATCTACACCCATGTTATTTTTGGTTTTGAGAAGGGTTTTGGTGTGAGTTGAAGTGTTGATGAATTGTTTGGTACAAAATAGTATTGTTTAGCAAGGATTTGATGAGGTTACGGAGTAATGGAGAGTGGGATTTTGTTGGGTTAAGTATGAGTTGCAGTGGCATGTATGAAAGAGTGTGATAGTGGTATTATCAATCAACTTTCTCGATGCTACACTTTTGCGCATAAAGGTGCGGATGCAAATGATGGTGTCCTATAACCAAAACACGTAACAACTTCAAATTATTTCAACAAATTTGTACTATCAATTAAAAAAAAATACACAATTTCTTAAAATGAGTTTAGTGGTCTCATAAGAATTTAGGGCGATTTCATCCATGAGTAAATGAGTATAGTGGTTTCTTAAAATAAAGACGTGTTCATCTTTCGATTCACAACTCATTTGAAATTAAGCCAGACTAACACTTTTTCTCACTTTAATTTTTTTTTACTATGATTTTTGATACCGTTATCTACATTGTTATAATATCGTCTTACTTTTATCTTTGATTAGAATTTTACTTACCTCTCGATTGAGGAAACACTCTGAGATATTAGTAAAAGAAAATTGTTTTTATTTTAATTTATATTTGTATAAAAAATTGTTGAATTTAACAGGTAAAAAATGTTTTTAAAGTTATAAAGATAAAAGAGAAAGAGGAATGTGTTTATTGTAGAGGGAATAAAGTTGAGGATGGCATTGGAGGAGTATTTTGGGTGAATAAAGTTTTAGAGGCAGGGAATGTGAGATAATGGGAGTTATAATCAGCATTAAGCACCTTGTTAGTGGAAAGCACCCAATAATTTAACGTTTCTTTTACTCGCATTGGGAGACAAGCAATCTATATAGAATCATGTCCAAAGGTAATGCTTAAAAGTTTTTTAAAAAGTTAAATAAAGAAAGAAATTTAATTAGACTTTATTATGTTGAAAATTATAATATTCAATATTATATATATTATCTATTGATATTCTTAGTCTTGTCCTTTGTTAAGCTGTTTTATTTTTATTTTTTTTTAATGAATAGATTTAAGTGGATGAAGATTTATCATTGTTAACCATTAACATGTATAATTTTTATAAGTATTATAATAAATTGTTTGTTTTATTGAAACAATTATAAAATGAAATAAAAATATTAAAATTAAAAACCATGAATGAATAGTCTTCTAACTTGTGGATAGATTATGTATATATATATATATATATATATATATATATATATATATATATATATATATATATTTTTTTTTTTTTTTAGTTTCAATACAACTTAACGTTCTATGGATTAGAAAGTAAATATATATAAAATAAAGTTCAGTGGACAGTTTTATATTTATTTAGACAAATTTACGACACAACATCATCGTGACGATTATAATAATAAAAAAATCTTAATTCACGTAGTTATGATAAATGTTAAATAAAAATCTTAAATATATGAGACAATATCAATTTAATTATTAAAAAACAAATATTTATTTTAATATTTAAATATGTAAAAAAAATTACAATCATTTTCGTTATTAAATTTTATAAAATTATTTATTCATCAAAATATAATTTTGAGAACTATTTAACAAAAAATCATAATTAAATTAGAATATAAGAGATTAATTTGCATTTTTTACACATAATTTACATTTTTCATCAAATTAATCATAAAATATTATCATTCATAATTTATTCACCTCATATTATTATCTTCGTATTATTTAAAGATAATTTTATTGACAAAAAGTAATATATATATATATATATATATATATATATATATATTGTATTAAGAAATTGGTGATTAAATCTGAGAAAAATTAATTATTTATTATGATATAACTGATTTAAAAAGTTAATATTGATTATACATATTTATATCACTCTGTTATATCTGAAACATGAATATTAAACAGGAAATGAAAAAACAAAAGAAACTAATTTAATTAAGGTAATGATATTATGAAAAAAAGCAAAACCCAATATTTCACTGGAATTATAAAAAAAAATATGAATAACTTTTGGACCAAATAACATATTATATATATATATATATAAAAGAATATAAAAAAGTAAAAAACATAAAAAAAGATATTTTTAATTTAATATATTTAATTATATTTTACATATTTTAGAAGAAAAATTAAATGAACTCAAATATATATATATATATATATATATATATATATATAATATTTAAGTTAACATAAATTTATGAAATCATTAAATTTCAATATTTTATAAAATTAGAAATACAAAAGTAGGCAAAAAATTTCAGGAGACTGTTACCTCACAAGCCAGTGTAAACAAAAAAAATATTTCTTTCCTAGAACAAACACCATGTTTATATAGCTTTTGAAAAGAAAGGCTTTACTTTGAAGTTAAGGCAGAGTCGTTTAAACTTTTGAATTGCTATTAGCTAGGTTTTGAAATTTGATTCATTAGTTCATTTACACAAGTAATTGAATTACGTATCAGCGAAAAATATTCATTAACTAAGATACGACCTACATCAAGATTATGAATGTAAAAATGTCTAAAACTAGGTTTTGGCTTTGGTACAAGTTCATGACTTGAACTACTCTATTTATTTTACATTCAATATTCAAACACATTATAATAAAATAAAAAATATTCTCCAATCAAACAATTTTGGCCATAAGATCTTGAAACTTGAAATAATCAACAAACAAACCAAACACGTATTACTGCAGTCTGTGTAGCATGCTATGAATTAAAAATATATACGCCAAAGGAACGTAATAATATTTGCGGAAAACCCTAAACCTAGTTTTAAGACAAGCAATTTATTGAGATGGTCTGGTTTTCAGAAGACAAGTAACATGTTTTGACTTTAAAAAGTTTCAAATTTTCACACATGCAGAAAAATATTTATATAAACTGTGAATTTTAAAATATTATTATTTTGAAGTTTAACAACCGTATAAGGTCTGAAAAATAAAGAGTTTGACACGCATACATTCATATAGACAAATATGACCTCAACAACTATCTATATCGTATCATTTTTTAACCTTGCTGTCTTCAGAGGAATAAAATTATGATCCGTACGCGAAGTTGACAACAAACATACGTTTTCGCAACAACAGAAGTTGTTGGCCTCAAACGAAAAGTCAAACTCAAACCACGTATTTCCAATATAATGCTTTTGACATTTAATTTTCCAAAGGGACAAATCAGTCAATTTACCCTAAAACCGAGTAACACCCTTGTTAGTAGGTCGCAGAACTTTGTAGAACATGACCATGGCCTTTCCTTTCCAACTTTACTGGTCTTAGTTTAGTTGTGTTAAGTTTATAAATATTAACATATGGTCATTTTATGAATAAAATTATGAACCTTGACGTACGCATTTACATTATTTTACAATCAACGAATTATAAGATTTTTTTTCAACATGTAACTATTATATATGTATACTTTTCATGATGCATCATCACAATATTAGTTAATGATGATAATATAAAAGGTTCGTAGACACATTTAGGTTTTATGTTTTGAATAAAAAACGCATTCAAAACTAAAGTATAAATTGAATTTCTATCGAAAATTTTCTTCTCGGTTTGAATCACGTATTTTTATATTATTTTTAATTTTTTGTAAAATGTGCATTTGATTTAAAATAATATTTCAAACTTCAAAAACATCATACTATAAAAAAACTGTGAGAAATGAAGATTTGTTCCCTCTTAAATATGAATAATCTTGTAAATGAAAAATGGTGAAAAACATTATACTGATCGTGTTAATCAGAAAGATGCAAATACTTACTTAACTTAATTAAAGTAATTGAAAATCATAATACGTTTCATAAACCATAATGCAAAAGTTAGGTGTGGAATAGGGTAACTTCGTAAAGCTACACACAGTACAGTGAACTTGATAATTTTTTGCAATGAAACTTTTTGAGTCTTCTCTGCGGTGCGGTGGAAAACATTTAAACATGCATGGGTGTCTACAAAATGGAGTGGTTGTAGAGTTGACGATATTCTTCAACATGGATCTTGAATTCCATCTGGAATTAATGGAGTTGGGTTGGCACTTGGCGGTGGCACATTCCTCCGCTCATTCCAGCATAAAATGGATACTCTCTTCCCTTTCCATCAAGTTTTTCTTTACAGCTATAATTACAACAATATTCATTATTTCTTTTTCTTTTTAATTTCTGTACAATGACCAATGAAAGACTATAAGATTCTGCATCTTTTTTACACAGTATAATCTCCAGGGTGATTTGGCTGGAGGAGATCCAGGTTCTCTTATTGTGTGGGTGGCTCTACTATGTGTAACATAACTTAATCACAAAACACTTATAACCTATGTTTGAAATGATTATTATGAAAGTGATTCCTCATGTGACTAAAAGATTTTTAGTGATATTCAAGATGATACTTTTTTTAGTTTTATAATAATATTAATTATCATGAAAATTTTATTTTATGTTTTAATAGATAGAGATTCTCCCAATTAGGATCAGGGTTGTATATCCGAAACATTGGAGATTTTATTATCTGTTCTTTAGGATTTAGTATTAGCCAAGAACAATATTTTAAAAATTGGATAGAGTATCGAATTGGTTGAAGTGGTAGGTAAATACTTAAATATGAAGATTAATATATATTGTAAACATATACATAACAAGCAGTTGTGGTAGCTCGATGGTAAGCACTTAGCTAGGGTTGACACATATACCTAGTTGATTACCAAGATAGAAAATGATGCATTTAATACTAACAAATTCATTAGTCAATTCTGTTTTTAAGTTGGGAAAGGATGTGAAGATTTTACACATCAATTATGATGCACGTGTTTATAAATATGTGTTTAAGCTTTTATTACATAAATTAAAATAAATGTTAAACATGTAATTAATCTGAAACTTTAGAATCGAAAGATATTTAGAAGTATTTTTTTATAAAAAATCAATAGTTTTTTTTAAATAAAAAAGGATATTAATATTTTTTATTTTTTGCTATTATATTAATAAATAGATTTAAAAAATAATATTAAATTACTAAATAAAATTATTAATCATAAATAATAAAAAATCTTAATTGTTTGTCAATACAATCACTCTTCTTAATACGATATTGTAATCTAAAAACAATTAACACAAAAAGTTTTATAAATTTATTAGTATAAATAAGTGCAAACATTAGTTTTAATTATTTGGATGTTATAAATAAAAACATGAAAGTATGTATTGTTGATTATTAATTTAAGTATATTGTTAGTATAAAATATTTATATACACAAATTTAATAAAAATATCTAATTATCTATCATTAATCATAAAGTAACCTGATTAAATAATTAAATTTTGTTAAGCAATTATATTTATATCTTAACTACAGTAAACTATTTAAAACTTGTAAGTTTATACCCATACTTACATGTTTAGGTGGAGAAATATAAAATTAAGATGGTATTATTCAATTGAAATTATTTAAAAAAATTATATTCCCTCATTATATATTTTTTATAAAACGAAATAGTGATAAAGTGAGGAGATAAAAAGAGAGAAGTACTTTGTGTGGAGCTTTATAATTGTCCATATCTCCCTAAAGTGACATGGAGGATCCTAGGTTCTCTCCGTAATATTTGACCAAAAGCGATGGCAAAACCCAAACGCCATTCTTTAAATACCTCCCTTGTTCCCTCTCATAATAGTTGGTTTCGAGTTCCGCCATTTTCCTGGGCATTCAGTTGAGTTGACGCTGTCTCCTCCATCCCCACCTTTTTCTTCCAACAGTCTCAATAATCCTCATAAACCATGATGCAGATCAGCTCCACCATACCGGCACACAACCTTCACATGTTCCAAACAAGACGCGCCAGTTTCCGATGCCGTGCCTCCCCCCTCAACCCTGCTTCCACCAACCCACTCCCAACCAACTCTTCTCCTCAGTCCGCCAAACCGCTCACCTCCACCGACTCCACGCGCTTGCACCTCTCAAACCTCGACAAGTTACTCCACAAGCAATCACCGACTCAACTCAACCACCCACCACCACAGCATCAGGAACAACTCGCAATTCAAAGCACCAACCACAAGTCAGCGCCAGCAGTGGAGAAGAAGGGAAAGAATATTCTGGAAGGCCTCAACCTGGCCCGTCTCTGGCCGGACATGAAAGCCACTGAGGAAATGTCGCCGCGCCACCTCAACCGCCTCCAGCGGCTGCTCTCCAAGACGGCGGAGTACTCCCCGCGGAACATCCTCGGCAGCCGGTGGAGAGAGTACCACGGCAGCGACGACTGGAAAGGCATGCTGGACCCTCTGGATGAAAATCTCCGGCGAGAGGTGGTGCGCTACGGCGAGTTCGTGCAAGCCGCGTACCATTCCTTCCACTCCAACCCTGCCATGTCAGCAGAGGAGCCACCCCTCCCGCGCCACATGGTCCTACCCGACAGATCCTACAGGGTCACCAAATCCCTCTACGCCACGTCATCAATCGGGTTACCCAAATGGGTGGACGACGTCGCCCCGGATCTGGGCTGGATGACCCAGCGCTCGAGCTGGGTCGGGTTCGTGGCGGTTTGCGACGACAGGAGAGAGATTGCGCGTTTAGGGAGGCGAGATATCGTCATCTCCCTCCGTGGAACCGCGACGTGTCTGGAGTGGGCCGAGAACATGAGAGCCCAATTGATAAACATATCCGAAGAAACGGGTGAAGGGAAGCCCAAGGGCGAGCCCAAAGTGGAGTGCGGGTTTTTGAGCCTATATAAAACGAGAGGCACCCACGTGCCTAGTTTGGCGGAATCGGTGATCGAGGAGGTGAAGCGGTTGATGGAGCTCTACAAAGGGGAAACACTAAGCATTACAATCACTGGACATAGTTTAGGTGCAGCACTGGCTCTATTAGTGGCCGATGACGTGAGCGCAGCAAGCGGTGACGTGGCACCAGTGGCTGTTTTTTCGTTTGGTGGGCCGAGGGTGGGTAACAAGGCCTTTGGAGAGAAAATGACGGCCCAAAACGTGAAAGTGCTGCGAATCGTGAATTCGCAGGATGTGATAACGAGGGTTCCTGGGATTTTTGTGAGTGAAGAGGTTGAAAAGAAACTGAGAAGCTCAAAGGTTGGGGGTGTACTGAATATGGTGGACGAGTACACGCACATGGGAACAGAACTGCGGGTGGAGACGAAGATGTCGCCGTATTTGAAGCCGGATGCTGACATGGCATGCTGTCATGACTTGGAGGCTTACCTGCACCTTGTAGATGGGTTTTTGGCTTCGAATTGTCCTTTTAGAGCGAATGCAAAGAGAAGCTTGGCTAGGTTAATGCAGGATCAGGGTGGCAATGTAAAAAAATTGTATACCAGCAAGGCTAAGGCCTTGACTGTCAACCTTGAACGACAGGGATCTTTCTCTATCTCTGGTTGTTTGCCTAGTCCCTCCTAAACTAATTCTAATGTGAATACAATCAATTACACCTCTCTCTTCTCTTTCTCTTTCTCTTTCTCTTTATCTTCTCTCTCCACATTTGAATATATATCAATAATTTCCATCCACAGATACATAGTAACCGGAAAGTCAAATCTACGAATCTAACATGCATATTTAGGAATCTGACTTAGATTCTTTTTCATTATTTTCTTTATTCAAAAAACATATAAGGTTAATGTTTTATTTTCATTCTTTTTATTAAAAAGGTTACTTTTATTTACTTCTATTATCTTATTCAGCCATCACCACATTTTGTTAATAAAAAGAATCATTTTAAACAATTGCAATTTGCAATCTCAAATTTGGCACTTCCCACTGTCGTCACGATAGTTAGATACTGTTACTAATGTTAACGATTAAAAAAGATATAGAAATAACTCACCAGTTTGGTCTAATGATTGAAGATTTAGACAATTTACACAGGATCTTAAATTTAAATCTCATTATCGTCATTGTAAATAAAATATAGCAAGAAACAAAAAATTAATGTGGTTCCACTATTTTCCTTCTATCACAAATCCAAATAATCTTTCTGATCATGTCATGCAGCAGATAAGAACAATCACAATTCTAACTCAATACTTAACATTAACTGTAATCCCTCTCAATCAAAGACATTGTTTTTTATATAACTTCTGTTATTGAAGTCAATAATGTCTGTCTGTATAATTTTTGTTATTTAACCCACGATTTTCATGTCTGAATTTAAATACTGATAGAATAATTATTTGAACTGAAGGCACGCCATTTGCAATGAAATAATGTAATTGTTAAATGGTGTTGAGTTTAACGTGTGCAAATCAGTTTATTTAGAAAAGAAATGGCTAAATTCAAATCACATCAGTCCCCACCAGTTTCAACCTTTCGAGTCAGCAAGAGTTAAAAAAAGAAACTGGCATAGCCAAATAGCCTAAACAGGAACAAAACAAAACAGAACAAATCAAAGTGCTATTGTATCCACTAAAAGCAAAAAACTCCAAAACAGTATCACTTTTGAGCTGACATAAGTTCAACAGGATCACGTTATACTTTTTTTCATCTGCTGTTTCTTTAATTATATAAGCAACCAATAAACTTTAATATGTAACGATAGGATTCAATAAATAATTGAGTTCTTTAAACATAGTCATTAAACTTTAACTTTTCACTGCACATCTATTAAAAATCAGGTTAATCAATAATTTTTTATATGTTTTGATTTTTCAATTATAGTTTCAGTCCTCACATAAAAAAAACAGTTCAATCTTAATCTATATATATATATATATATATATATATATATATATATATATATTTTTACATTTTAATTAGTTGAACTATTTCTTGATGATAGCTTAACAAATATTTTTTTTTACAAAAATCTTAAATAACATATTTAAAAATAATAAAAGGAGTAAGCCCAATGAATATACCTGTCAACCTGCCTCAAAATTAAGTTATCAGAACAAAAGTTAAATTAAATAATATAATATAATAAAACCTAGATAAAATTGAATCAAAATTATATATTTTCTTAAATATAAATAATAAAATCACAACTAAAATTACAAGATTAAAATAAGTGATAAGAAATTATAAGAACTAAAATTATAATTTAATACAAAATAATATAAAACGAAAAAACATATATATTACAAAATTTTCCAATAAAAATTAGTTATTTGTGAAGTGGATGTTACTTATTACTAGAAGTTAACATAAACATACATATATCATCGATCCGTTGTAGTCTAGTTGGTCAGGATATTCGGCTCTCACCCGAAAGACCCGGGTTCAAGTCCCGGCAACGGAAGATGTTTTTCTTATTACGTTTTACAAATTAAATTATTACTTGAAGATAACTTGAAAAATATTTGCTTGTAACAATCCTAAACTAATATATTAGATATAGGATTTAATTAGATCAAAATGAAAAATATAACCTAGGTAAGTTGAATCAAAATTACAGTTTTTAAAAAATATATAAATAATAAAATCACAACAACTACATATAGCAAGACTAAAATAGTTTATAAGAATAATTTAATATCAAACAAAAAATCATATATATTACGAAGTTTTTCAATAAAATTTAGTTATATTGTGAAATGGGTGATATTTACTACCAGTTAATGTTTTTATAAATTAAATAATATTTATACTTAAATCAATCCGTTGTAGTCTAGTTGGTTAGGGTATTCGGCTCTCACCTGAAAGATCCGGGTTCAAGTCCCGGCAACGGAAACGATGTTTCTTAATTTCTTTTTTTTTTTTTTAGATTTGTTTCCCTTATAAATACAACAAATGATTGAGGAAACATCAGAATCCTGTTTATGCGAAACTGAAACATCAAAAGACTCAATCATAGTGAGTCACTGATACATGTTTTATTTACGTTCATTAAGGACGAGGAAGCCAAAATCTTTGTTAACATTGCCCTTTGTAACACTAAGCAAACACCAAACCCTCACTTTTGCTACCCCAAGTCCCCAATATGTATCCTCACACTCTCATCAAGGCGAGCTTAATGATAAAAACGTCATTGTATCCAACAAGCTCATCACAAGCTACGTTCGATGCGGTGACATAGATTCCGCTGTTCGTGTGTTTGACAGCATGAAAGTGAAGTCCACTGTTACATGGAACTCTATCCTCGCTGCCTACACAAAGAAACTCGGCCACTTCGAACACGCTCGCCAGCTGTTTGAGAAAATTCCCCAACCCAACATTGTATCGTATAACATCATGTTGGCGTGTCATTGGCACCATTTTGGTGTCCATGATGCCCGTGGCTTCTTTGAAATCATGCCCGTGAAGGATATTGCTTCGTGGAACACCATGATTTCGGGTTATGCGCAGGTTGGCCTCATGGGCGAGGCTCTGAGGTTGTTCTCGGTGATGCCGCAGAAAAACTGCGTGTCTTGGAGTGCCATGGTGTCTGGATATGTGGCTTGTGGAGATTTGGATTCTGCTGTGGAGTGTTTTTATGCTGCGCCTGTGAGGAGTGTGATCACGTGGACTGCAATGATCACTGGGTACATGAAGCTTGGGAGGGTTAAATTGGCAGAAAGATTGTTCGAGGAAATGACAATGAGGACATTGGTAACATGGAATTCTATGATTGCTGGGTATGTTGAGAATGGGAGGGCAGAGGATGGGTTAAGGCTATTTAGGACAATGTTAGAAACTGGAGTTAAGCCTAATGCCTTGAGCTTGACTAGTGTCTTGTTGGGTTGTAGTAATTTATCAGCATTGCAGCTGGGTAAGCAAGTTCATCAATTAGTTTGTAAGTCTCCATTGAGCAGTGATACAACGGCCGGGACTTCATTGCTTAGCATGTATTCCAAGTGTGGGGATCTAAAGGATGCCTGGGATTTATTTGTTCGGATTACTCGGAAGGATTTAGTGTGCTGGAATGCAATGATTTCTGGCTATGCCCAACACGGGGCTGGTGAAAAAGCTCTTCATTTGTTTGATGAGATGAAAAATGAAGGCATAAAGCCAGATTGGATTACTCTTGTTGGAGTATTGTTAGCTTGTAACCACGCAGGATTCGTGGATCTTGGGGTTCAATATTTTAACACAATGGTACGGGACTTTGGAATTGAAACTAAACCAGAACACTATGCATGCATGGTTGACCTTCTTGGTCGAGCTGGAAAGCTAGCTGAGGCTGTAGATTTGATAAAACGTATGCCTTTTAGGCCCCATCCGGCCATTTATGGAACACTTCTGGGTGCTTGTAGAATCCATAAAAACTTGCATTTGGCTGAGTTTGCTGCCAAGAATTTGCTTGAGCTTGATCCAAGTATTGCAACTGGATATGTTCAATTGGCAAATGTTTATGCAGCACAAAATAGATGGGACCATGTTGCTAGGATCCGAAGATCAATGAAAGAAAATAATGTAGTGAAGACACCTGGCTATAGTTGGATTGAAATAAACAGTGTGGTGCATGAGTTTAGATCAAGCGACAGATTGCACCCTGAATTGGCTTCGATACATGAAAAACTAAATGACTTGGAGAAGAAAATGAAATTAGCTGGCTATGTGCCAGATCTTGAATTTGCATTGCATGATGTGGGAGAGGAGCTGAAAGAACAGCTTCTTTTATGGCATAGTGAGAAACTGGCAATTGCATTTGGACTTCTTAAGGTACCATTAGGGGTTCCAATCCGGGTATTCAAAAACTTGAGAGTTTGTGGAGATTGCCATGCTGCAACCAAGTACATCTCAGCTATAGAAGGAAGAGAAATCATTGTTAGAGATACCTCGAGGTTTCATCATTTTAAGGATGGATTCTGCTCCTGCAGGGATTACTGGTAAGCTTGAGAATGTGATAAGCAAAATGCTGTTGACTTGAAGAGCAATGCTATTTTATTCCAAGAGCGAAACTGGCATGATCGATCGATTTCTCTTACACAGAAAGGAATACCATTCTAGAGATTCAGAGAAGTGCGCTTAATTGCACTAGCATCGAATTAAATTTCCAGTTGAACTAATTGGCTGTGATTCTGGAAATTAACGGCCAAGTCCATTTTACCCACAGTTGTTGTTAGATGCCATACGGGCTACTTGTCAGTTCTACAGTCTCTCGACAGACTTTAACTAGAGAGAAATCAATTGATTGATGTTTGATGGCTCCCAAAAATGAATGCTTTATCAAATGTAGCTTTGAGAAAGGAAGAACAACTTGTATTAACGTCCAAATTCGAAAGGCTACGTGGGTTGTGGTGGAGTTAAAGACTAGTGGTGTGGAAATTGACCGTGAGAGGAAAGTTGCTCAATGGAGTCGAGTATTGTTAAAGTCGGGATCCTCTCCAGGTCTCTCCTGCAAGAATGAGTACAGTAGGATTAGTAAAAGAAAAAGGAGTACAGTATATAAATCTAATGGCTGAGATTAAAACTTAAAAAGAGACATCCTCCTTGCTTCAGAACCAAATGGCAGCGACTTCATACCAGTTCTAGGGCAAGCTGGAATAATGTTTTGAAGCAGAAACAGCCAAAACACCCAATAATGTTTCCACACCTCTCCCCGATCTTCATTAATCACACCACAAACCACCGTAGCCGTGCCAAAATTAATGGCAATCACATCTTCCATCAGCTCCCTTGGTATGTCGTTAACCCCAATGGACAACAATGAAGATTACAACGCATTTTATGAAAGAATAATGGAGGAAAGAAAATTAGAAACCCACTTGTATTCCAGAACAAAGGCTAATATTGCAAGTTATGAGATTGTTTTGCCTTTTTCGGTGACCATGGCCCTCAATCAACTAAGGAGCACTCTTACAGTCTTTTTTTTTTTAATATTTTTCATATTATTCTTGTATCTGTTGATTTTATGTTTTATATTATAAGTACAGCAGTTGCTACTTAACTATTCTAGCGTACAAATTATAGATTCAATAGATTTTATGGTTTTTAAGCAGAACTTTTGTCGCTTTTGTACAAGATATGATCTCGTATAACTCATTCATAGAAAGTCCTCCTGAGTCTTCAATTCCTTGACGTGTTGTTTCCATGAAATGTACAATGTTATAGTTCTATGTCAGCATTATGCAATTTTTTTTTACTGCTTCCTGATCATGGCAGCCTTAAAGGCTGAAAATTTTCAGAACTTTGATTCCGTTGTAAGTTTCTTTATATTCATTTATATCTGCATGTTAAATCATTGTTTGTACCCATCCGGTTGATAGTAACTGGAACTGCTTTTCTCTTCAGTCTTTTCGCGTCACATCACAGCACTTGCAATTGGATGCTTGTTTTCACCACTGCGCTGAAGACCAGGGGGTGTGCTGGTCAATAGCTAATCTCCTTTCTTTTCTCAAATCTCTTCGCACAACAACACTCAAGATTAGGTGGCTATGTAACTGACAGAGTCTAGAAAAGAGAAGAAGGTTAAGAGAGAAGATGGGAGAGAAAACAGGAAGAGGATGGAGGAATTATTTTTTCCATTCCCTTCTTTCAGGCAAAAACCAAAACATAATTAGTCTTTAAGGGAAAATAACAATTTTATATGTTCAAAAGAAAAATAAAAATGACATGATGTTTCATCCAATTGGATCGTTTCCCTTTCCTTTTCGGTCTCACGTGCTGATTGGATTGGTCTTCTAATTTCTTTCCCTTGTCTTTGAGCCTTATCATTTCAATTTCTTTCTCTTATCTTTGAGCCTTATCATTCCCATCCCGACAGAGAAACATCTTGTCCATAAGGTGTAATTCAGGAAAATCTGCAAGCAATTGGTCATTGATTTCCAAGTTGAGTCTTCAGGAAATAATCCATCATATTAAACTAACACTAATTCTTGCGGAGGATCACCTTCAACCTTAAAAGCAACAATAACCATTGACATAATTTTTTGTTGATTTGCAATAGAAGCATAAGTTAATGTCAATTCTTTATTGTCTATATCACCATGAAAGTGTTTAAGTTTAGAAGCATGAAAAACTAGATGTATCTTGAACTCTTTATGCAGTTCAAGCTCAAAAGCTACTTCTCCAATACATTTCTTGATAGGAAAGGGCCCACAAAAACGTTTAGACAACTTCTGCAACCGTTTCCCTACCATAGACGTTTGCCTATATGGTCTCAATCTCACCAAAACTTGGTTTCCCAGCTTGAACGGATGAGGAATCCGATGAAGATCAACATTTTATTTCATAGTTGATTGGGCCTTGAACAGATTGCTTTTCAATTTGTCCAAGATATTTGTCCACTCACTTAATTCATGTTCCATAGCTTCAAGGTTACTAGATCCAGTAACACACTATGGTAATGAAGGAGGTGGCTTCCCATGCACAACTTGATAAAGGTTTGATAAGCTGAATTGTAGTGCCATTTAGCCAAATGAATAAACTTTCCACATCTTAAAGGTTGGTGGTGTACAAAAGTTCACAGATATTGTTGCAAAATTTACCACTTTAGTTTATCTATGTGGATGATAAGCACTTGTCATGCGCAATCAGTGTCACTAAGCTTGAATAATTCCCTCCAAAATTGACTCATAAAAATTGGGTCACGATGCTTCTAGGCATGCCGTGTAACTTGCACACCATCTCAACAAATAATTGGGTCACTTGATTTACAGTGAAATTTCAACCTCCCAAAATGTGTTGTCTTGGATAATCTATCAACCACTACTAAAATAACAATATAGTTTTGGAATGAAGGGAGACCTAAAATGAAATCCATAAACACATCTTCCCATATGCCAGTGAGAATCAGTAGTGGTTATAACAAACCATATGAAGAGTGAGTGAGAACTTTGGTTTGTTGGCAAATCAAGCAGTTAGACACAGATTCAGTAACGTCTTTTTTCATTCCAAACCAATAGAAATTCTTCAATGGTTTACCAAGAGTTTTCAATACACCACCGTGTCCCCCAATGGGTGCTACATGGAACTCCTCCATCAATAATAGTTTCAAATCAAAATGTGGTGTTAAATAAATTTTGCCTTAATATAACAAAACTCCTTAGGTACAAGTATAATCAATATAATCATCAGGATCAGGATTATCTTTCATCACTTTTAAGAACTTGAGTAATTTTGGATCATTTTTATAATGAGCTTGAATCTTTGAAAAGACTTCCAAATGAGGAATGATAATTTTAAACAACTGACATGCTGAGAAAGGCACCCTAGACAGTGCATCTACTACACAGTTATTAGCTCATGGTTTGTAGATGATTTCATAGCTATACCCCGATAATTTGGAAAGGTAATATTGTTGTTTAGGAGTCTGAATTATTTGTCATTAACTCTCTTAAATTTCGTTGATCTGTGTATATCAGAAACTTGCGCCCAAGCAAGTAGGTTCAACATTTTTTTACAACCTCTGTGATAGCATGTAGTTCCCATACGTAAGTTGAGGAGTTTAACGTCTTGGCACAAAATTTTTTGCTAAAAAAACTAATGGGATGACCATCCCGTTGGAGCACCAGACTCATACCAGCACCAAAGGCATCTGTTTTAATAAACAAAACATTTTTCAAAATTTGGTAACTTCAAGACTGGAGCTGTCACCATTGCATCTTTCAATTGCGTAAAAGGTGTTTTTGCTTCATCTGACCATTTGAAGGCATCTTTTTTTAGTAGGTTGGTTAGAGGTAGCACAATTGAAGCATACCCATGTATTAATTTGTGATAAAATCCTGTAAGACTCAAGAATCCTTACAATTGCTTAAGATTCATTGGTATAGATCACTCCGTCATGGCTCAAATTTTCTTAGGATCAGGACCCACACCATTCCTGGACACTATATGGCCTAAATATTTAATGGTCGATTGAGCAAAAGTGTATTTGGACTTCTTCACCTAAAACTGATTAGTTATCAAACAATCAAACGCAATCTTTAAGTGAAGAACATGATCATTTAAGGATTTACTGTATATTAAAATGTCGTCAAAGAACACAGTAACAAATCGCCATAAACATCCAAAAGGCATAAGGAGAAACTCATAATGTCTGTCATGCATCCTGAAAGTAATTTTGTGTACATCTTTGGCATGCCTGTTGATATGGTAATACCTTGACCTTAAATCGAGTTTGTTGAACCATTGTGTCCCATGCAATTCATTGATCAACTCTTCAATTGATGGAATGAGAAAACGATTTTTACTTGTGATAACATTTATTCTCTATCTAAACTTGGTATTCTCGAACCGAATTGGTTTGACTCAATTTGAAAAACACGCTTTGCGAATCATCAAAATATAAAGGTGCAAATCACAATTCTATAGATATGAGAAATGCAACCTAAGATGAGAGTTGACCATTGGTGTGCATTTATTGGTGCTAACTTAGAGCATCTTCCTCCATATAGAATAAGGAAATTCGTAATTGTTATTCATCCGTGGTTTGATGATAATAAAAAAACCTTATTTATTTTAAATATCCAACCTAAGAGATCTCACCATTGAATCTAGGTAAGTTCAGTTTGATAGTGATGGGTAACTAGGTTATCTATTTGAATATTTGACTCAATAATTTTACTTTCCAAAACATCAAGTTTGGTGGATAGGACTTTTATAGTAGAAATAAAAGTTTTCATATTAGCAGGTGACGAATGTATCATTTTCTCAATTAAAACACCAAATAATAAAGTAAAAAAAAAAAGAAAGAGAAGGTTAAAAAGGAAGAACAGATGAACAAATTATTATCTTGTTTATTTCTTTTAATAAAAACCAAGTCATAAATAATTTTTTAGAAAAAATAACAAACTTGTATATCCAAAAAAAAATACAAATAATATGATTTCAAAATATCTAATATTGTTACTGTAAAATCTATCAGAATCTATTTCTTTCTGAATTTGCATTTAAGATCATTGAGCACGTAATCTTTCATTCAATGTTCAATTAGACTTTTTTTCCTTTCCTTTCGGCTTCACATTGTATCGGTCTTCTAATTTTTCGTTTGACTTACAACTCATTTCAATTTCTTCCTCTTGCCTTTGGGCCGAATCAGTACCCACCTGGTTCATAGAATCATAGCTGACTAAACTTCCTTTCGCACTAATATATACGAGATTGGAACATTGTGTATTCAGCTTGTCAATAGTTGATCGGGTTCAAAGGGTGTCTAACCTGGGCGACTGTGGTAGCAATGTAATTTTAAAAATACTATTATCATATCATAGATATATATCTTATCCATATATCAATGTGACACTTTACTAGCGATTCTGACAATAAAATTCGATTAAATGGAGAATATGCTTGCTTAGGTTCACATAGACTTACAATTTTATACTTACTTGCTTTAGTCCAAATTTTCAAATCCTAAATAAACATCTGTTTACTAAAACATTTGTCTTGTGTCGATAGGTTGTATTCGCATTAACATATTAAGATACACATTTGTATGGGAAAAGTTGGATCAACTTCAAGTCATATATTATAATTTATAGCATAGCAACTAACAATGATAAAAAACTGTAAGATTCCAAAAGAGCATTCATTCTTGCTTAATATATCCTAATCATTTATTACATTTATGATCGTTGAAATAAAAAACAGCTGAAGCTATGAAAGAAAAATAAAAAATATGTGTGCTGAATTTAGTGGATTGGTTAGTCTATTTATTTATTTTAACATATATATATATATATATATATATATATATATATATATATATAATGAACATAATAAATAAATCAATGTTATAATATACTAGTGGAAGGGACCGTTGCGCTAATGTTCACATTTTTAAATTAAAAAATAATTACTTAAATATTAAAAATGAAATTATAATTAAAATATTAGAGTTTATAAAAAAATAGTTATAAAAATGATTATCAAGATGAAATTAAATTTAAAATAAAAGTAATTAAATTTTGAAAAAATAGTTTATAATATAAAGGATAAAATGAAAAAGAAGTATGTGCATAACACAATTCAAAACCTTTTATATATTATTAACCATAAAAGAGAAAAGACCCAAATCCGTGAACTCAATGCTTTAGAAAAAAAAAATGCCATGCATCACAAGAGTGCAAAATCCATAAGGCAATCAAATGTAATGATGAGAATGGTTTTTGTTTGGGTACGGTGTGCGGTGGTTTCACAACTACGGTGGCTAGCTTGTTTCTGGTTCAAAACATAATATTCCAAGTTGTCCTGGGTCATGTTCACAAAGGGGTGTGTCTCTTTTCGAGTTTTAATCCCAGTAATTGAACTATTTTTTTGAGTTTTAACGAGCTTCTTATAAATAAAGGGGTGTTACTCATTCTCTGTGTTGAGAATATTTGCCAGAAAGGATCTGGACTCAGCATATTGTTCTGCGTTCGAGTGACCTGCACTAGCAAGGGATGCTGGATACAAAACCAACCTGTGATATTCCATTTATTATTGAACTTCAGAATTGGGGGATT